CAGAAGTAAATTTTCACAATCCAAAACAACTCAAACTGTAAAAGTTTCCTGAACGTTTGAGCAAATGTTTGAAAAGTTATATTTGTCAGGAGACAGTTGTTCACATTGTCACTGTTTTCTTTCCTGACTGTCTTCACTAACTAGAAACACGATTGGTGCTCCTGCTGATCAGCTGAGTTCACCAGATGTCATTGATTGGTACATCCCTCTACAGCTCCTCTTCTGTGTAATCTGGTTCATGCAGATATCCTCTTATCACCCAAGAGAAAGTCATTTAGTCAATTTTTCTGTAATCACTTATTTTTACTGTCTTCAATTGACATTTTAGGATTAGGCCTGCAGAACTGTGAGTCACTGCAGATTCCTGGCAAATGCAACCATTCAGAAGCAAACCAAGCGTTGTTTATTAGGAGGGGAAAAGCTTCTAATGGAAATAACTTTCTCGTTTGTTCTGTTGAGCTCTAAAGTAGAGAAGTGGCTCTATACTTCTCTGGTTATAGGAGTGCTGCAAAAGTGTTTTGTTCTCTAAATGTTCTGCACAGATTCATAGCCAAAGGATTTGTTACCTCAGCTAATAAATGTGTACTGCTCATCATAAATTATTTCCACCTGCAGGCTTCCGTTCGTTCACTGTTTGATCGCTGCACAACAGAGCTGTGCTTGCATGTCTCTGTGGCCCTGTGATAGACCAATGATTTCAGGGAGTGCATCACCCTGGCCCTTAAAGTGGCTGGTTGGATGGGCCTTCTGATCTCTTTGCAAACTTGTTGAGTGCTCATTGTAGATATAAAGAAAACAGATGGCTTTTGGAGCATATGAACAATGTGTGAAAACATCTAAAAAGCACACACACACAAAGGCATTAAGAAGGCATGACCACATCCGTCCTGTTTTAGCCAATTTACACTACATGTTCCTTTTTGTATTAATTTCAAGTGTTTTACTGACTTTTAAAGTTTTAAATGGCTTGGCATCCAGAGCACTGAGGTTGTCCAATCAGATGTTTTTATTGCAGGTGAGGGCAAAATTAAAATACAAACAGGATTGGCCCAGACTGTGGAACTCCCTGCCCATTGATATTGGTTCCGCAGAGTCCATAGTCTTTTAAATCCCACCTAAAAAAAATTATTATTTTTTTTTTTGCTCTGGTTTTTAATTCAAGCTTGGTTTGAGTTTCCATCAGAACCTTTTTGTTGCGTTATTTTCTTGTTTTAGTTTGTTCTTAGACTATATTATTACACTTGTGTGTTTGATCCTTCATTTATTTTATTGCTAGATTTCCTGTTTAAGAAGCACATTGGTCAACTTTGTTTTTTTTTTTAAATGTGCCGGATAAATACAATTGACATTCACATTAACACACACACACGTTTAACGCTTAAAAAAGACTGAACTTCTCCTTTGACCATTCACCATTTAGGTTCCAAAAAGTCAGGTATTTGTTATCGCCTGTCGTCACAAACAAAACAATAATTTCACAAACTGAATCATCCAAAACTAATTTGATTTGCATTAATAAGCTAAGTCACATTTCTTGAGAGATTAAATATATATTTTATTATTTCTTAGGTTGATTGTTTGTGGTAACTAAGTGACTCTGTGTACATGGAGATGGCAAAGTGTGGTCTCGATCTGCAGGAAAGTGGTTGCGTAATTCTAAAAATATAGAATCTATCACGTATTCCAGGATGAGCGATGCTAATATCAGGTTTAAAAGCTACAATTGTATTTAAGGGTACGATACTGGATGTAGCAGCAGTTGTTTAATGAATGACTCTGTACTTGTAGGGCAAAGTACCAATAAAGCATCTTCAGTCTTCTGTGTCATCCATGAGCACTGAGGTGAGGCGGCCTGATTCTCGTCTATAGGAACGTTTTCCTGCGTACATTCCATCAACATCAACATAATATCGTTGACATTTCCTCCATCAGCTACCTCTTCCTGCAGGGATCTGTCTCCAGTCGCTGCTGTCAATTAGACCAGCTCCTTCTCCCTTGGACTTTGGTGTAATCTACTTTTTCTCTGGACTGATCACATTAAGGTTCACGTTGTGGCATCATGGTTGAGAAGAGGAAGGATGAGATGGTGTGTGTGTGTGTGTAGGGGGTCATCTGCTGACTGGGAGGAGATATAAATACATAAGAGATATGAATCATGGTGCAGAGGTAAATAAAATCTGTAGTCATTATCAGGTGCCCAAGCACAAACGCCAAACAAATATTACATTTAAATAGATTTGTGCGTCTCAAAAAAACAATATATTTCATAAACTGGAGGAAGAAAAAAATCATTGCATTGTTTGTGTCAACATAGAGAGGGGATGACGTTTTTCCCTGTTTTTGCTACTTATTGTGCAAGATCCTTGTTTAAATCCTTATGTTTAACTATTGGAGTCCAACCTGTTTGTTAGCAAAATCTCTCATGAAGAATTTAATAGATTTGAATTAAACTTTCAGAAATTAATGATTGGATATAAATCTACAACTGATTAACTTTTGAAGTGGCTTTGATTCAAGATGACGGCCACAGATAAGCAGCATTAGTATTAATAGTAACATTATCCAACACAAAAATGGCTATAACCCTTTCTGTTTTACAGATATTTAGCTATTTGATGGGGTAGTAGCTGAGAGTCAATCACAACATATTTACCCTGAGAGTGATTTCTTGCAATATTTCATGAGACAATGCATAACAATTATTTTCAAGGTTTGACCAAAAGGGCTACATCTCTGTCATTTCTCAAAACACTTCAGCTCTGGTGTTGTTTCAATGCCTTAAACAATCCGAAGTATAAAAACAATGCATTTGTATCTAATTTGTATCATGTTGGATTGTATTTATTTAAGATGCTCTTTTAAGGTGGTATCATCTGAGTTCCATGTAAAATGTTGACTAATCTCAGTTTCCAGCCAATTTATTAATGAAATCATCTGCATCTGTTTACATATTTGATAATTTTATTATTTATCTCCCTTTTTTATCGCACAAGCATTCACTGAGTTTCTCACAACACTTTTCTAACTTAGAAAAGTTGGTAACGTCCTGGATGATTGGTGCTTCTATGTGACTAAAATAATGAGAAAGCTATGAAATACTAAACATTACACCCTGACTCAATGATGGTATTGTGCAATCCACTGGTCCTCTGATGTCAAAAAGGTGACAGAAAAGATTTAACTTTACATTTTGATTGTAACTAATAAGAGTTTGACTTCATTCAACATAATAAAAATAAACCATGTTTTCTGAATCAGATTTACTTTTGATGACTTGCATTTGGTTTTTATATAAATTATAAATGTTCAAAAACAACAGACAAGACACAGACATTATTTTTCAATATCAAAGCACATTTGTGCAATGTTTTTCAAAAATTATGCAGAAAAGGTTTTAAATCCCAATGTCACAGTTTTAGCAGGAGATTGGACACAAAGATGCAGACTGGGAGCTCAGTAACAAAACTTGTTTAGTTCCATCCATTCATTCATCCATCCATCCATCCATCCATCCATCCATCCATCATCCATCCATCCATCAACCATCCATCCATCATCCATCCATCCATCAACCATCCATCCATCATCCCTCATCCATCATCCATCCATCCATCCATCCATCCATCATCCATCCATTCATCCATTCATCCATCCATCCATCCATCAATCCATCCATCCATCCATCCATCCATCCATCATCCATCCATTCATCCATTCATCCATTCATCCATTCATCATCCATCCATCCATCAATCCATCCATCCATCCATCAATCCATCCATCAATTCATCCATCCATCCATCCCTTCATCCATCCATCCATCCAGCCATCCATCCATCCAACCATCCATCATCTTCCACTTGTTCCGAAGTCGGGTCGTGGGGGCAGCAGCTTGAGAAGGAGGCCCAGACAACTCTTTCCACACTCCTCTGAGGAGGAGCTAGTAACAAAGCTTGTTTAGTTTTATTTTTAAAAATCTGTTGAGGCAGGAAAACTTACAAGCAGGGGGAGGAATGAGGAGTCACAAGGAGAACACATGGGAGGACCAGACATGGCATGTTAAATGCATAATGGTCAACTGAAACTGGAGTGAGCACTGGCAGAATAAATAGGCCGGGGCTGATGAACAAAGAGGCTGCAGCTGAGGGAACAGGGGTCAGGTGGAGATGGGCGTGGAAGTCTGACTGCAAAAGTAGTGAGGGAGAAGTGACTGGTGGCACAGCAGACCACAGAGAAACAGAACCCAGATCGCATAACTAAACACAAGAATCAAATGAAATAATTATAAGACTCAAAGAATGATGACAAATCTAACAACAGTCACAGATCCTGACACGCAGAATTAAAAGAAGTTAATTAAAAGTCAAAAAGAATTCTGGATTGTTGGTACTTGCGATTGGTTCACGTAAGTCTTTCAGGATTACAAATGTATTTTTCTCTCTTCTTTCTGCTGCTTCCTTGTTGGCTATCTGTGTGGAGCAGAGGGCTGCCATGTGGGGCGCCCAGGGGAGCAGATGGGAATTAAGGGCCTTGCTCAAGTGCCCTTCAGGATTACAAACTAAAAATACTAAATTAGTTCACCATATATATGAAACCACATTTAAGCTGCCTGGTCCTAAAGTTTGAATCTCATTGATCAGGTGGGGGAAAAAATTACTTTCTCTTCAACTTTCTTTCGCATTTCTGATTAAAACAGTTAGAGCTTAACTTCTAATCTTCATGTTTTTTAGGGTTTTATATCTTCTGTTTGACTTTCACAGAGAATCTCTGGGTAGCTAATCAGATGAATCAAACCTCATGTCGAAGTTAGTTTTTCTTCTTCTTTTTTTAGTAAATTAGAAGGTAAAAAAAAAAAGAGTAAAACTTCTGACCAATCTGACCACAGGCCTCTTTGGTTCAAATCATGAGCAAGAGCAGTGACGGAAGCAACGAGCCTCTGACGTCTCGGGCTCCGGATGAAGCTCATGTCCCCTCCTGCTCCGTGAGAAACACCCAGGTGTATAAAACGGGAACTGAAGGCGAGCAGAGGAAAAGACCAGCAGTGTGGACATACTGCAGCTGATCGGGATCAGGACTTTGGACAGCGCCAGAAAACTACAGAGCCAAAGAACACAACTTTCTTCAGAGCACATGTAAGATATTATCTGAGAAAATGGTTCAGCATGTCATTAAAAGTTGTTGTTGTATCTGTTCTTCTATTTATAGCGTCTGCTTTTGCCCTCTTTTTTTTCTACATGTTTCATTATTTAAATAAGTTTGGGGTTATCTTTGGACAAATGACTCGTTAAGTAAGCAGATTACATTCCATTAGTCGTTTTTTTTTAAGGATGGGAACAGAAATATGCGATCTTATCAGATGGACGCGCTATAGTCTGAGCTTTGCGTAATTGCGCACTGGACTTTGCGACTTGTGACATTTTTCTGTGCCAAATTTCTTTCCACTTTTCTAAAAAGTGTGACTGATCAGGAGCCTATCTTTAAATTTTGTATAAGGTCTAATAGATTTATTGAGACCAGATAGCTTTAACTCAGAACAGCAAAAGAAAACAAGACAAAAATTATTTATTTGTTGTATGTTTCCCACATTTTCCAGGGAATGAGACTGCATTTTAAATTGCAGAATGAACTACATCTGATAAAAAAATAAAAAATAAAATAAAACAGCTCGCCACATGGTTTGTGGTTCAGAGTCGCGCCGTGCGTAATTACGCATTAGATCGCTTTCACTTGATACCTTCTATATTGAAAAAGAAACGTCAGACCGAATCAAAACTACAAGAAGAACAAAATATTCTTCCTTTTGTTTGTTCATATTTCGTGTTTGTGAAAAGAAATCAAACTGGATCATAGTGTGTTACTCCAGAACCAGTCGGATTTTATTGTATCTATTTTTTGGTCACCATGTTATTGTTACAAGCAGAATAACTTTCTCCATTCTCATTCGTCAGGTGTAAAGCGATGGTACAGCGGTCCGGCCCCCACCTGCTTCTCCTAATAGCCCTGTGCAGTGTGTTATACTCCCGGACTTTGAGTCTGCCTTACACATCCATGAGGTGAGCGCAAACCTTTCTGACGATCTGAGCTGATTTCACTTCGAAATGACAGTTTTATTCATTCAGAGGAATTATTATTTTATGGCTTAAATGTCTTCACTCATCAGTTAGGAAGTGGTTTATTGATTTTATGCATGGCTTCATTTGTCTCAAGTTATATTTTTTTTTTTTTTCACAAAAGTAAAAAAGAAAAGAAAAAAGGACAGAATATTGGCATTTTGACTATAATTGGTCAAATTACAGATGGCGCTGCACATGAACCGGAGCTGGCGCGCATTTTTATGATGTTTTGGATGTGTCCATTGTGTCCAAATTTGATGAGACTGTCTTTGAACTCTGTGCAGACCGACGAGACATGCAGACGGTCTGTTCACCAGCGGGTACAGCAAACTCCTGGGTCAGCTTTCAGCGCGGAGGTACCTGGAGTCCCTGATCGGGAAGCGCGTCAGGTAGGTGGAGAACCGCAGACCGACCAACGCATGTCCAGTTTTATAACATTGTTTTTATTTTAAAGAGAAGAAATAAGAATATTTAGGTTTTAAAGAAGCTTTGAGAAAACGTTTTGGTTACAAAAGAGTTTGTGTAGTCTTAAAATACTCATGAACCATAGTTCATGTTGAAATAGAATAACATCTTTTAGTCATAAACTTGAGTTTTGATACATTCACCTTTAAACAAAGATTTTAGACACAGAAAATAAAGCAAAAAAAAAAAACAAACCCATAAAATATGAATTCATGACTAAAGGCTTAATTGGTTTAAAAGAATACAACTCCTATCAAAATGAAGATATCTAATTATAGAGTCAAAGAATACAAGTTAAACAATTTAAACACATTTTAATCATATTTTCTACTTCACAATCATAAATTAATAATTTAGGTAGTGCTTGATAATGAGTTTAACTTTCTCACAAAATCAACAAACAAACTAAAAGGTTGTTTTATTTCACTGATAGATTTTTTTGCCTTTTTCAACACAAGAGCCACTTGACATTTAAAGTGAAAAGATATGACCTGCTCGTTGACGCGTTTTGTCATTGGCAAAACATTTTTAAAGGTTAATTTATGCCATTACAGATTCATCACATGCTTGTAGTACAGCCAGGGGTGGGCTCTCACACACGTGCACAAAGAGTAAATACCGTACATCATAGAGCCTGACTTTGTAGAGAAATGTTGAGCACTCTGAATTGTTGTGCCACTCTGAGGTCATCTCTTGTGTTCAGCGACGATGTGATGGAGGAGCCGGTGAAGCGCCACTCAGATGCCATCTTCACAGACAACTACAGTCGCTTCCGAAAACAGATGGCGGTCAAGAAGTACTTGAACTCTGTCTTAACAGGAAAGAGAAGGTAAGCATCCTTCCTTTTTACTTGAAGGTAAAGGAAAATCATGGTCAGGCTTTGATATAAACAACGATTTTAGTTTTTCAAAATGAAAAATGTTGCAATAAAAAAAAAAAAAAAAGAATTCAAGCCTGTTGCTTCCATGTGAACTTTTGTTTGCCTTCCAAGTTTAGTTGAAGATATTTATTTTGCCTTTGTCTCTCCTCCTCAACACAAACAGCCTAGAAGATCCTGGAACCAGTGAGCCGGAGGAGTCCAGAGACGAACCCAACACCTTCCAGGAGAGCTACGATGACATCAACGTAGATCACCTTCTAAACAGCTTTCAGCTGGTAGGCACTCATAATCATACAGACTGGCTGAACCCTAATCCATGACCCACAAACTATCAAAGTTGACTCAGTAAAATAATCCACAGTTGAGTTGAACTCAAACTGATATCAATCAATTTCTTTATAGTTTTGCTATACATGCTGAATTTGTTTAATATTTTAAAATATTGAAAAATGAAGCTTTAAAGCAAAAAAAACAAATATATATATATATATATCTCCCCTAATCTTCATTTTAGGAAAAGTTTACCAGACTTAGATGGTTAAAAACGGCATAAAGTTTTTGTCACTGTGTGTAACCTTGTTCTTTTCTCCTTTGCAGCCACTTTGAGGAGGGGCCCATGCTCAAATGAATACCTCAACTCATCCTATAAAGATGCTCATCAAAATAAAGATATAAATACAATGCACATTCAGACATAGTATTAATGCAAAGGACGTTCAAAAATCAAATCAACCAATGATGGCGTTTTCCAGTGTGGTTATTTATCTATCTATCTACGCATTTCATGTTCATGCTGTAAATACATTTATACCATTACGAAAGAGGCTCACTGAGCAACATGGGGATCTGTGTGAAGTTTTGATTGGTTCGTTGGTAAATGGCAACAGAAAATATCACTAAAATTTCTGTTTCACTGCTGATGGTCCTTTATGTCATTTTCTTGGAGCCACTGTTCCAATTACAAAAACACTGTCCCATTGATATTACAAAAAAAAAGAATAATATTCTATTAAAGATCAATGACTCAGTCTTTGGTAATACATTTCCCTGGATTCTCAGGTGTGATTCTTGAATTTGTTTCCTTAACTAGAAGACAAGTCTAGATTGTTTTATCACATATTTTTGCAGAATTTGCAACAATCGTTGATATAAACAGTATTTAACTTGTACTCAGCGGAACACAAATCCCAATAACTCGTATAAGTACTTTTAAAAAAGTTAAATGGTGCAACCTCTATTAGTTTGATGTGACTGATTTTCTTTAAATATGCTAATGTAAACTCTTAACATGGAATAATGACGTTTTGGTCAACAGTACCAAAGGAATATGACTATATTCCATCAATCTTTATTGAAATATTTACCCACAGGATGATAATTGAAAAATAAGATGTTAACTGTAAATTTATACCAGAATTTTATTCAGTACAAAGTTTAATTTTCAAGCAGTTATCTAATTAACACTGAATATAAAAGCTTGGGGATTTAAAAACATAAATCTGAACTTTCACTGAACCTATTGTGTCAAGTAATCTTTATCCGAATTTAAAAATATGATTAATATTACTTACAGCTTTGCGCCTATTTGGTTTTACTGGCCAGCTCTTCTTAAATGATGATCAGTTGAACAACTATCCATTTTACATTAAATCTCTTGACTAAAAAATATTATTGTAAGCTATTTATTCATGTTCAGGCTTTCTTTGTGCCATTTGATTCATAAAAGAAAATGTTTTACTGTATTTTGTTGAATAATCATTCCAATAGTCAGTAACAGAGAAAAAACTTTGCCTTACAAAACAACATAAAACATAAATTACAATGCCCCTGTAATCATGAACAGAACAACACAAATGCATTATGGATGTACTGGATTCTACATAATACGAATTATAATCACTAAGCAGTTGTTTCATTTGTTTTTAATGTTGCCATGGTGATGTGACCACCAAGAGTTTTCTGTATGTGATGAATAAAAGGAGACAAAAGCAAAGTAACTCAAAAGGACGCAGATGCATATAATCACTTTCTACTATCCTACATGTAGAGCAAAGACATTTTAAGTGTGCATAGAGCTGCCTTTAGTGCTTATAGTGATGTACACCACTGATCAAATAAAAGATGCCGATTTATTTTTCAAAGCTGAGTCGTCTTGTCTGGCTGATTGTTTGTTGACGGATCCTGTCTCCAAGGATGGTTTATGAACTGAAAGGTATAGAACAAAATCTACTTGATGAATCAATACATAAAATAAGAGTCTACAATTAATTAGGTAAAATGTGATAATACTGTTTTTGGTGCAAATTGCTTTTAACAGACTGTGGATGGCAAAACCAAATTATATTCTACATAAGTGGTTGATTGAGACTGAGCAGCTGATTTTTTCATCTATCAACTTCAGCACCACGGACAGAGACACTTTGCCCACCGGCTGTTTTTCTCCATTTTTTAACATTTATCATAAAATGTGTTTCCTAATTGTATTTTCATGAACAAAGTACATATCAGGGATTTAAAAAACTGATTTACAGTCAAACAGCATGCAGTTAAAATGGGATTTTTCATTCACTGCAGAGCAGATAAGAAAATGATCCAGCAGGTAACAAAATGTATTTTAGCTTTAATGTCACATCCTGACAATAAAGTTTAGAATGAAGAGAAATGGGCCTGTTTATATCTCTATTATAAGCCAGGTGGTTTCATGCTTGTACACAAACAAACTTTGGGCTGCTGTCAACATGATGACATTGTCATACAAACTGAGACTGGGCTGTACCCTGTTCAGCTCCCAACAAAGGAAGAAAAGTAGAAGGGAAGATAGAAGATTTAAACTTTATCTGATTAATTAGTGTTTACATTGTTAAAACACGTCCATTCGTTTATCAAAGTTCTGTATCCGATGGATCCTGTAGGGTCACAGGGAGGTGGTGCCATTCTCCAGCAGTCAAGGAGCAAAACAATCAATTCAATTCAGTTTATTTATATAGTTCCAAGTCACATCAGAAGTCATCTCAGGGCACTGAATAGAAACACTGATATATAAAAATTAAGTTAATACTATTTATCTGAGGAGCAGACTGCTTTGAATTTAACTCCATCACATAACTCTCATCTTGAGCAAGTATAAAGGCGACAGTGGAAAGAAAAAACTCCCTCATGATGAAGAAACCTTTAGCATGACCAGACTCAGGACAAGCGGTCATCTGCTTCGACCGGCTGGGTTTGGTAGGAACTGATACACAATGGCAGGTCAAGAATCACATGTTAAGATAGAAATAGTATCAAATGAAAACTATTAAATTTTAACAATTAATTTTATGAAATGAGGTCAATTTGTCCTCCAATAGTCTAAGACTATAACAGCATAACAAGCCAACCCTAGGATTTATCAAAAAGGAAAGTTTTAAGCCCAGTCTTAAAACTGGACAATGTGTCAGCCTTTCGGACAGAAACTGGAAGTTGGTTCTACAAGAGAGGAGCCTGATAACTGAAACATCTTCCTCCCATTCTGCTTTTGGAAACTCTAGGGACCACGAGTAAGACTGCAGTCTGAAAGCGAAGTGCTCCGTTAGAAAAATATTGAACAATAAGATCTGTAATATAAGATGGAGCTAAGTTGTTGAGAGCTTTGTAGATTAGAAGTAAGATTTTAAGGTGGGGCACAGTGTGATGGTCAGCAGTCCTTCACAGAGTCACATCCATGCACAGACACCTAGCATTCTACAGCGCTTTACATTGTAGCTGTTTTTGTTTTGTTTTCTACTATCATTTTCTTTCATTTATTTTTCCCAGTTTATTTTTATATACTTTCTTTTATGATTGTCTACTGTTGTCATCATTCTTTATAAAAACAGGTCTCTCTTGTAAATGAGTCCTCAAGGCTCAGTGAGACTAACCTGTATAAATAAAGGTTGAATGAAAAACTGATTCAGATCTGCCAATCTACCTAACATGTCTGGATATGAACTGTGAGAGAAAACCCAAGTACCTGTAGTGAACTTGACCTGATGTCAAAACTTGACCTTAGGATCATATGGTCAGAAACTGTCATTTCGTTGATTTGCATCCAGAAATACAGGTTGATCGATCCTGAGACTTTCTTTCTTGAATTAATCAAGTGGAAAAAGACAATTCTCTATGATCATTACTATTTTACAAATGTTTTGATAATCAAATTGTGTTAGTTCAAACAATGTTTACATGTTGAAGTGAACTACTCATTTTTATTTACTTAAAACAGTAATAATGATTTTTATTCCTCAATTCAAAGTGAAATCAAGTTAGAGTACGTTACAGAGTAATGATTCAATTTCTTGATCGTCTGCTTTGAAGTGAGCAAATTTGTAAGTGTGTCAAAGTTCGAGTTTCGGTCAACTGAAAGTTTACTGAAAAGAAATGTCATGTTTAACTTTTACAGCGAGATACTTGGTGAGTGGCTCCACGAAGTCTGGTTTTTCCATGATATCTTTCTGTCTGTTCTTAAACAATCTGAATCTTTTCCTTGACTTTTAATAACACCTTACATCACAAACCACACCTCTGCTTTGGTCCATTGACCAATCAAAAGGCTCTCAAATGAACCGGAAGTAGAGCTCTTTAAAATGTGGGCACTTCCTAGTTCAAGGAGAGTTTTTGGAATTCAGAGTGCAGAGAGTTTGGGAGTTCCAGAATGCAGAACGCTGGCATTCAGGATGCTGCTGAATTAGAATCAAGCTGAACCAGAGACGATTTTGGGAATTATAACTTCTGTTTGGATAACCTCACACGACTCTCGAGGTCTTTAGCTGTTCTTACGGAGACGCTGAACAGTGGCTCGAAGTGGGACTTCACGCCGGAACTGATCTATCTTCAGAAAAGGTAAAAGTCGACCTTCACCAAAAGTGTACTGTTGGGACAAGCTGATTTCCGAAGGAGCGTGCATGTTCTGGTTAAAACAGACAAATTCCCTCACACATCTCTCTGTAGACAAACTTCACTTTCCATCTTTAAACTCTCCTATCTGCTAGCAAATTAATCCAGATGTTTTCAGAAATGTCTGTGGTGAAGCAACGGAAAATCATGGCCGTGTGGTTTTCCTGGTTGTAAAGCTGATTAATTATGTCGTTATTTTCCAATTCTTGCCAATTAATGTAAATGTGTGATGTGTTAAACTTGATTCTGTTAATAAATGACCCACTCGTTTGGTGAGTCAAAGATAATTAACGTCTCACGTCCACATTTTATTACATTCAATGCACGTACATTACACAGTCCAGAAAAATGAAAGAACCCGTTTTAACAGTATGAATATATCTCAGGATATGTCTTACTACATACCCAGAGAAGTCACGTTTGCATGGGGAGAATATTTTGTAGTGGCATGCAAATATTTTGTTTGTTTGTTTGTTTGTGTGGTGGTGGTGTGTGTGTGTGTGTGTGTGTGTGTGTGGGGGGGGGGGGGGGTTAGGCTCTACTGTTGTACCATTTTACTATATTTTATGGTCTGTATACTTTTTTTGTTGTTATTTTTGATGCTATAATTTGTGGTTTATATTTTTACAGTGATCTGTAACATTTATCCAATTACAACAAATGAAAAATAGCCTTTCAGCAAATTCTGGCATGCT